CCCGTAAAAAGTTTGTTTCTATGTCTCTTCCCTTTTTCTCATTTATCATTATATTGGTCATAAAATTAGGTTCCAAAAAGGGTTAACCTTCTTCACTTAAAGGATGTTAACAATGTTTTAAATAAAAAAAATAATTATTTTTTTTAAAAACATTTTTCTTAATATTTCATGAGAAATAACTAAGAGAACATTCACCCCTTTTATACACAATTTGAGCAGGTTCTTTCCAGTGCCAAATTAGCCAAAACTAGTAACCCTTTTAGCCTACAGCAAATTTTTTAACACTCGAGAGACTTCTCTTTTTAGATTTACCCCCCCCCCCTTACCCTGTTCTCCCCCATCCTTCCCCTCTCATGACCTTCTTCCTTCCAACCCCCCAAACTGCAGTTATTCCAACCCTTTTTTCGTATAATCGATTTGATTTACCAAAATTTAGAGTAAAATTTCTCAAATGCGTTAATTAATCTTAACTTGATTCTCAACACAACTTGCGTACTTTATAGAAACCGAAGACTAGGAATAGAGGACTAGAAAGCAAGGACTAGGAACAGAGGACTAGAAACAGAGAACTATGAACACAGGACTAGGAAAAGGGGACTAGGAACAGAGGACTAGAAAGAGAAGATAATGAACAGAGGACTAGAAACAGAGGATTAAAACAGAGGACTAAAAACAGAGGACTAGGAACAGAGGACTAGGAACAGAGGACTAGAAACAGAGGAGTAAGAACAGAGGAATAAGAACTTAAGACTAGAAACAGAGGACTAAGAATAAAGGACCAGGAACATAGGACTAAGAATAAAGGACCAGGAACATAGGACTAGTAACAGAGGACTAGGAAGAGAAGATAATGAACAGAGGACTAGGAACAGAGGGCTAAGAATAAAGGACCAGGAACATAGGACTAGGAACAGAGGACTAGAACGAGATGATAATGGACAGAGGACTAGGAACAGAGTGCTAGGATCAGAGGACTAAGAACGTATGACTAAAAACTGAGTACTAGGAACAGAAGACTAGGATCAGATGACTAAAACAGAGAACTAGGTAGAGAAGAACAGAGGACTAAGAACAGAGGACTAAGAACAGAGGACAAAGAACAGAGGACTAAGAACAGAGGGAACAGAGAACTAAGAACAGAGGACTTATAACAAAGGATTAAAAACAGAGGACTAGAAGCAGAGGACTTAGAACAGAAAACTAGGAACAGAGGACTAGGAACAGAGGACTAGAAGCAGAGGACTTAGAACAGAAAACTAGGAACAGAGGACTAAGAACAGAGGACTAGGAACAGAGGGCTAATAACAGAGGACTAGGAACAGAGGACTAAGAACAGAGCACTAGAAACAGAGGACTTAGGACAGAAACCTAGGAACAGAGGACTAGGAAAAGAGGACTAAGTGCAGAGGGCTGAGAACAGAAGACTAGGAACAGAGGACTAGGAACAGAGGACTAGGAACAGAGGGCTAAGAACAGAGGACTAGGAACAGAGGGCTAAGAACAGAGGACTAGGAACAGAGGACTAGGAACAGAGGACTAGGAACAGAGGGCTAAGAACAGAGAACTAGGAACAGAGGACTTAGGACAGAAATCTCGGAACAGAGGACTAAGAACAGAAAACTAGGAACAGAAAACAAGGAAACAGAATACAACACCTAAAAATTCAAAAAAAATCTATGGTCCATTTCCCTTTCTATTTAATTTTTCACCCCTACCCCTCCATCCATCCTTTCCTTCTAGATCTGATTCATTTTTTCTATAATCCTTCCCCCCTGACCCTTGCTTGCCCCCCCCCCCTGGTTTCAGTGTAGCCTAGTGATCATACAAAAGTGCACACAATACCCGTGTATTGCAATATGTATGGGAAAAAAGCCCACTTTTTTCCTAATCGTTACAAGGGGGCTTTTTGTACCTATTTGCAGCAGTTTTTTCGACGGGAAAAAGTTAGGTTTTTTGTTAAGAATTACAAGTGGATTATGTCAAGTTGGTAACTTGGTTCAAATGTAAAAAATTATATTTTTACTAGATACGATCTCATTAAATAGTTATTAATGACAGTTTAATTATTACTAACATTTGTTAAATTTTCTTTAATTTTTAATTATTTTTTTTTAAGCAATTATAATTTCAAGTAATTATAATTACTAGAAATTCAAGGCGCTTCGCGCCCTTCTTTCTAGCCTAAGAGGGCGCTTCGCGCCCATCTTCTAAATTAGTTGTGAACATGTTCTCTTTGTGTACATCGTAAAACAAAACAAAAATAATTCGCGGATTTTTACAAAAAATTTCGCGGATTTTCAAAATTTTTAAAAATTTAATGACGATCGAATTTTGATAGAGACAAATATTTGAAATTTTGATTTTTCATAAACCTTCCCTGGGGTCCCTAGATGTCCCACAAAAAATTTGGGCCCGATCGGTTCAGCCGTTTGGACGTTTATTGGATACAAACAAACAAACAGACAAACAAACAGACAGACAAACAAGCCAAATTTATATATAGATGCACGATTAACTATATAGGTCTATTTAAAATGCATATATTTTTCTAATATTCTAAATTATTTATCTATTCTGAACCATATTTGAGATCTATTCTAAACTATATTTGATATCTACTCTAAACTATACTAAATATCTATTCTAAGCTATATTTTATATTTATTCTAAACTATACTTTAGAACTATTCTAAACTATATTTGATATCTTTTCTTAACTATATTTAATATCTTTTCTAAGCTATACTTGAGATCTATTCTAAACTATATTTAAGATCTATTCTAAACTATACTTGAGATCTATTCTGAACTATACTAGATATCTGTTCTAAGCTATATTTTATACCTATTCTAAACTATAATTCAGATCTATTCTAAACTATACTGTAGATATCTGTCCTAAGCTATATTTTATACCTATTCTAAACTATACTTGAGATCTATTCTAAACAATATTTGAGATCTATTCTAAACTATAATTCATATCAATTCTAAACTTTACTTGAGATCTATTCTACACTATTCTTGATATCTTTTCTAAACTATACTTGATATCTATTCTAAACTATGCTTGAGATCTATTCTAAACTATATTTGATATCTACTCTAGACTATACTAGATATCTAATCTAAGCTATATTTTATATCTATTCTAAACTATACATTAGAACTATTCTAACTATATTTGATATCTTTTCTAAACTATATTTAATATCTTTTCTAAGCTATATTTGAGATCTATTCTAAACTATACTTGAGATCTATTATAAACTATACTTGATATCTATTCTAAACTATATTTAAAATCTATTCTAAACTATACTTGAGATCTCTTCTAAACTATACTAGATATCTGGTCTAAGCTATATTTTATACCTATTCTAAACTATACTTCAGATCTATTCTAAACTATACTATAGATATCTGTTCTAAGCTATATTTTATACCTATTCTAAACTATACTTGAGATCTATTCTAAACAATATTTGAGATCTATTCTAAACTATATTTTATATCAATTCTAAACTATACTTGAGATCTATTCTAAACTATATTTGATATCTATTCTAAACTATACTTTGTATCTATTTTAAACTATACTTGAGATCTATTCTAAACTATACTTGAGATCAATTCTAAACTATACTTGAGATCTATTATAAACTATACTTGAGATCTATTCTAAACTATACTTGAGATCTATTCTAAACTATACTTGAGATCAATTCTAAACTATACTTGAGATCAATTCTAAACTATACTTGAGATCTTTTCTAAACTATATTTGAGATCTATTATAAGTGTAACCGTAAATGTTCTTGATATTGTATATTTATTCTTATCTCTATACTTGATACTATATATCTATTTTTAAGTGTTTTACTTTATATCTATTCTTAACTGTGCCTTTTTTGTATACCTTTAATTCAACAAAATATATTTTTTTGGGTTCTTTTTCTTGAATGAGTATCTAAACATTGTTTTATGTTTTAAATAGTATAAATGTTAGATAAAAAGTTTTTTATATTTGTTTGTTAAGTGTGTTAGTCTGATACAAAGGCTTTATAAGGCAGTGTAGGGTAGGTTTGCGTTGGGATATTTTAACCTTTTCCCTTAGCGCTACAACCCCCTCCCCCTCCCCCCAATCTGTGGGTGGTGCGACCCCCCCCCCCACGGAAGGGTTGCGCTTCCCCCCTGTGCCGTGCAGCTTTTTTACGTGCAGTCTCGCATAGTGCAGTCCCGAGACCCCGGGACTCCACCAGTAACTCAGTGCACTCCACTCCACACACTCACATGCAACTATACACACAAACACACACTCATATTAGTGTGCAAAACTTGTGTGTGAGTGAACGACAGAGGCCGAGTGTTTTTGCCTGTCTAGTGACTAGGCCTAGCAGGCCCAGGAACTGCAAAGAACAACAACAGCCTAGTGTTGCCCCCTGGGTCGATACTAGTATACTTCCAGCTCTCTAGACACATACACAACTTTAAACCTGTCGGAGAAGAGAAAACTAAACAAATCCGCAAAACATTAATCCAGGAAATATTGGAGTGTGAGGTGGAGTACATTGTGAGTTTATATCCTGGTGATGCATGAAGGAGGAGGGATGCTAGGTCTTAATCCAGGTCTTAGGGACCATCCCCTTCAGGGGTTTCCAGGGTTTGGAGGGCTAGGCCTAGGGCCGGGAGGAGGGGGCCCTGTTCATATGCCCCATCCTAATTCTGCCCCTAATATGTGGCCATTTATCTGGAGTCATATTACCAAGTAAGTGTATATTCTGAACCTTTGCTTTAGTATTTAGCTGAAGACGTTTAGATAAAAAAGTCAGAAAACATGTGCAAATGTTTTTTCTTATCTTCAGATTTGACAAGGTTGTGTCCATGAAAGAAAGAATATGCCTAGGGATTAAGAAAGAACACAAATTTTAAAAAAATTCTAGAAAACATTGTTTTTCTGTTTATGATCGTAAACCATTAATATCGCAATATTAATTACACTAATAAGCCTGGAAAAATAAAAATAAATTTCGTATAGTTTGGCAGTGTCCAAAATCTTCTTGTTAATTCTAACTATTTTCTCATCATTTTTAAAATAATCTAATTATCTTAATTATTTGTTGTTTATAGAGAATGATTTATATGAAGTTATATGTACGGGCATTGAACCGTATAGTATCATATACCAGTATTGTCTGATCAAAGAAACGATTAATCAATGCTATAATTAACGATCAATTTGCGACTCTTTAGCACTGTAACAATGAGAAAAAGGTATAGAGGGGAGGGGGTATATATGTGTGTACGGTGTATATACCTAATTATCCTTCTGTAGAGCTCAATCCGAGGAATTATCCAGAAAATCTGCCGAATACCTTGTCTACTAAAACAAGAAAGGTTTAAAGTATCTTCTGTCCACTTGTCTAGGATTTAAATCCCTGTAAAGGGAGGGGAGGGGGGGGGAGCACATTCCCTAGGTGTCCATTTTAGGGTGTACAATACATACATATCTGTATATTGTATGGTTTAGTTCACATTTAAAAATGTGTTGAAAAAGTCTTGTTTCTATAGTGACTTTAGTATCGAGATCTAGGTATATAAACACCCCCGGACATGTATTTTCTCAAAACAATATTATTTATGTTATATGNGGGGGGGAGGTCGTTTTTGCTCCATTGTAGTATTATGACAAATCGAGGTCCATTAAAGTCCCGGGAAAAAGTTTATAAGAAGTGGTAACAGTTCTAAAACACAGTTTAAACACAGTACACTTATCAATCATATTTACCAAAACATACTTTATTATTAACCTTTACAATTACATGTAATATAGTTAATTTGAGATTAAAGGGACTGTAAATGTAATTTCAAGTGACCCCCCAAATGTCACTGAGAACGGTACATTTAAGATTGCAGTTGTCGGGTTTATTTTTTGAATTATGAAGGAAGTTGTCAAAATAACATGTTTTAGATGAAAAAACGACGATATCTTCCTCATTGTTATTCAGATAAAGTTGTGAATGTCTACTTCTATCTAATCACAATGATTGAAATCCATATTTAAAAACAAATCAGAGTTTTACATGCGATTAATTTCTTATTGATTTTAATCGATTATCAGGTTTCGACTTTGTTCTTACATTATACATTGGAATTAGAATCGTTGATGCTAGTTGTTTATTAAAGAAACAGTTTGCGATTTTTTCTTATCTCTAGTCAAACATGATTTAGAAGGAAAATAGTTGATTTACAAGGTGATAAATTATATAAAAACTATTCTAAATAATTTTATTTGAGATAAACTTCATTGTTTTCAATCTAATCTGAAAGCACTAAAAAAAATATGATATTAATAATTATTTTTGTAAATAATTTCATAAATATATAATAATAATTCCCAGTTTACTTTCTAGTAGATGAATCCTAATAAGGGATAATACCTCTGTTTATATGAATGATTGAACTTGATATAATCTCAATATTATTAAACAATTGTCAACCTTATATATTACTAGATAACTAGGCAATGGGAAAAATCGATTTATATATTTGTAATCAGCATCATTTTTGGCTCGGAAAAAAAGAAAAGCACTACATTAAATAAAAGCGATTGAAAAACGCGGCATCATTTTATAAATAAAAAAACACACATTTTTTAAAGGTCAAATGGCAAAATATTAGTGTGCTTCCAATATTCATGTTCATATTTTTATATATTTTTTATTTTATAATTAAATTTGTTTTATTTATATCGATTTATATTGATAATATAGTATTTACACATTTTGTTGTGGAAAATTAAATTAAAAATCAAAGAATAAGTTTCATAATTTATACTCTGGGAAAAATAGAGTTAAAAATTTAGATATGTATAAAAAATATTAAGGCGTTGGGACATTTCTTAGGAAGACATTTCATAGATAGAACATTTTATAGATAGGACATTTCATAGATAGGACATTTCATAGATAAGACATTTCATAGATAAGACATTTCAAAGACAGAGAAGATTTTCCATAGACAGAGCAGATGTTCTCCGCATACATTGCAACAACGAAACAATTAAGAAAGCATGACATATGAAGAGTACTTGGTTTAATTTTTAAGAAATTAAAATTCAACTTTTTCCTCAGAGAAAACCTTTCTGTCCAGTGTCCATTTAAAGGTTTTTCACTAAAATTGCGTTTGTTGAATAAAAATGCTCGAGTGAATTATTAAAAATCCGCAAAAAAATGGAAAACTGCGATTTCTCATTTGTTTCTCTGACACAGTAGAAGGAAGACATGGAAAGAGAATACATTTCATTGACATTTTCATAAGACAAGGGAAAATATGAAGATGAAAAGAAAAAAACTATCATTTGTAAAAAAAATTCTTCTTTCTATGAAATGTCCTATCTATGAAATGTCATATCTATGAAATGTCCTTTCTATGAAATGTCCTATCTATGAAATGTCATATCTATGAAATGTCCTTTCTATGAAATGCCCTTTCTATGAAATGTCCTTTCTATGAAATGTCCTTTCTATGAAATGTCCTTTCTATGAAATGTCCTTTCTATGAAATGACTTATCAATGAAATGGCCTATCTGTGATATTGTTATCTCTATAAAATGTCTTTCTATGAAATGTCCCAACGCTAATATTAACACATGGTGGACTATTTTGTATTTCGAGGAAAGGGATGCAATTAATATGCAAACCATGCAAAATAATTTTTTTTTACGACTTTCGATTTGTAGATAATTGTTGCATTTTTTGTTATTGAATATTCATGTCAAAATAAATTTTTTACTTTCTTAGAAAACAATCGAATTATTTATTATAAATGCTCTAAAACGAAACAGATAAGATTAATTTTTCTTGGAAAAGTAAATAAGGGAAAATTTAACAATCCAAAAATATTTGACTTAAAATATTTAAAATCATAATTTTTTTTCTAAGTTTACAAAGATAATTAGTCTATCTGCAGGGAAAATAAAGGTCAAAAGTTTCACAAAAAGTGATATTTTTATTAATATTTACATAAATTGGTACTATAGCTTAAAAAATGAAGAATCCCTTATAAGACATGGATATATAAATACCTGAAGGTTGACTGCATGCATCGAATGAAAAGTCCTGCGGGTTAAAGGGTCCATCTAAAATATATAATTTCGAATAAGAAAACATGTTAAAGGAACTGTCAACGTAATTTAAAGTACGAGGTATGTTCAATAAGTTTTGCAAATTTTTTTAAGGTTTTTCTAGACGTCTCAACCCTGTAATTTTTTTCCATCCTGGTTGTATTCTCATAATGGACTTTATTCATCAAACTTTTTATTTCTATGAAATCCGCCTTTTCCCGGAGGTTGTTTAGCTCCATTGTCACAACACAGGAACGTTTTTAATGCCAACCAGGGAAAGAAGACACTTGGAATGCTCGATACACAAACAATTCGTGCCTAAAACTTTCCAAAAGCAGACACATTTGACATGATTCAAAATGCATTAGAGGATAATAATATGGACAAGGCAAGTGGACTAAAAGAGAAAAGGTGTAATGGAGAGTGTTGACCGTTGGCAGAAGGGGAAATGCAAAGCAAAAAAATCTACAAAAACCCCTCAAACAGTGGAAACAATTGAAAGTTTCTCAAACCAAATTCGCAAGGCTTCCTAGTTGATGATACCTGATGAGTTTGACATGGTGCTGCAAACAAAGCTGTAAAACAAGATTTGAAAAATAGCAAAGACTTAAACAACATTTGCTCCGAAGAGGTCCTAGGAAAAGATACTAATTTGTTTGCAGAAATGTAGATTAAAAATTCTTGAGGACCCCTAGAATAAATGTTTACCCTCCTTTGACTTTTTAAGGACCACTCTGAACTGGGTAAAGCTTAAGCCTGTAGAGAATATATTTAGGGTGAGACAAGCATCTTCAATGGGATCCGGGAGAAAGCTAATTGCATCCAACATATTTTTTGATCGACATTAGTTGGTTAGAAAATTAAACCGGTATAAATATAGTGAACTTAAAAAAAAAATTAAAGGACTGAGACGTCTAAAAGTACCTTTATAAGTTTCGCAAAACTTATTAAATATCAATCGTTCTCACTAAATATTGCCATGAAGAATTCTGTTATATATCTTTATGATAAACTAAACGATTGATTCTAGAGACCATCGGTCATTTCTTTTTCAAAAAACAACGGCGCCTTCATAATTTCAATTTACAGATAGAAAAAAAATCTTCATCATAGGCATATATTGACAGGGTAGGTCTATAGGGTACTATTGTTGAGGACACAAGTGTACAGGCTCAACCAAAACAAATAAGTAAGACGACATCATGACATGAAACCTTTTAATATCACGATCTGAAAATTAAATCCTATCTTATCCTTAAAAAAATATTAGATATATATTTTAAGAAAAAATAATAAATAAAATCTATTTTTGCCTTATTCTTTTCCAAATAAATTAGATCAAGGTTGCCTTATACTTTTTGATAAATCCTGTATTAGTGTTATATCCTAAATACACTGATGAGTAATGTTATCTTTACTTCTCTTATCTTGTAAATCCGGTATTATTCAAACTTTAAGCATTATTTATAATTTGAAAATTACACAAATTAGAATCATCAGATAATTAGAGTTGGAATAAGATACTTAAAACTTAAAATCAATGAGAAACACGTGATTATCCCGGAAATCAACTTTCACGTTGTTATTTTATGATAATCAAAGTCAGAACAACACAACAGGATTAACCATAAAAGATGAGACTTAAATTTTTAAAAAGATGTGCGGGTAGTGAAGTTAAAAAATCGGTGGCCTTTCAGAACAAAAACCTCTCCACACAAAAATTCATCATTTAACAATTTTTCAGGATGGAAAAGGGGGGGGGGTTGTTATCAGAGGGCTGTATATTTTCTCGAAAAAAATCCCCACCCCTTTTGGAAAATTCTTTTTCCCCAGAAGTTCAATGTGCTTGTGTTATAGGGTTTTATTCGCTGAATTGAGCATATTTTTGGGTAAAAAGTATCAACAGAAAAAAATCCTTTTGATGTTCAATTTTTCATTTTTTCCCCAAAAACGTCAAAAATCACCCTTCCCCATAATTCTAAAAACTATACAGCCCTGTTAATGATTATTTAAGAAATCCCTGCTAAACTCTGTGTACACCTTTTAGTACAAATATTAGAACTCACCCGGCCCGAAGTCGCAGTTAGGATCTAGCTTAATATCCTCAGCTTTGAAATCTGTTTCAGGGAACTCCAGGTTATTGTCCCCAAGACCAACATTCTCATCTTTTACTAAAAATATTAATATAAAAAAAAATATAACAATTGTCTTTTTCAAAACCAATTTGAACTAAAACACATGTTAAATTGGTTTAAGTTTAAGTTCCGTAAAAGAAGTTTTACAAAATATTTATAAAGTCAAATCATCTATTTTATTTTACTCAACAGGTTAGGGGCACGGTTATGCCACTCAACCCTCTGGCAGAAAAGTAAAATGTGTTCGGAGGATTGCTGTATTATAAAATTAAAAATAAAACTGAATAAGAATGAAAACTAATCTAGTACTAAGCAAAGAACATGAAGTAATATGATATACGAGATATAAGAGGAGAATTAAAAACATTCAATTTTAAAAATAAATAATAAAAGCTGGAGAGAAGGAAATTAATATTAAGAAAGGTAGTATTAATGAATGAAAGAATGAATGAATTTATTAACGAATGATGAAAGGATGATAGTAAGGATGAATGGTATAATAACAAAATGATAGAATGAAAAATCTATACAAATTGGCGGATTTTTTAAGGAACCCGTGGGTATCCCGTGGTAACATAAATTTGTTTTTATTCCACGGGCAACGCTGAGCACTTCAGCTAGTGATAGATAAAAGAATAAATGAATGAAATATTGAAAAGAACTGCTTGACGAACAAATTGCATGATAGAAAAACTAATATGGTTAGAAATATTAATGAATGATTATTAATTTGTTAAATGAATCGCCGGATGAATGTTCAGGTTTAATTTGTAAAAAAATGGAATATACATTTTTATAAATAAATGAATAATGTAGATATAAGGCAAAGGATTTAGTTTTTAAATGAATTAAAAATGAAAAGGAATGAATAAAACAATGAAAGAATAAGTGATAGCATAAATAAATACATGAATAAGAAAAAATATTAAAATGAATAATGATTAAAATAATGCTAAGAAGGATGAATATATAAATGAAAAGGGTGAATAAATAAATAAATAAATAAATGAATTAATGAATAAATGAATAAATAAATGAATAAAGAAATGAATTAATGAATGAATAAATGAATTAATGAATAAAAGGATTAATTAATAAATGGATTAATGAATAAATGAATTAATGAATAAATGAATTAATGAATAAATGGATTAATGAATAAATGGATTAATGAATAAATGGATTAATGAAAAAAAGGATTAATGAATAAATGAATTAATGAATTAATGAATAAATGAATTAATGAATAAATGAATTAATGAATAAATGGATTAATGAATAAATGGATTAATGAATAAATGGATTAATGAATAAATGAATTAATGAATAAAAGGATTAATTAATAAATGGATTAATGAATAATTGGATTAATGAACAAATGGATTAACGAAGAAATGGATTAAGAATAAATGGATTAATGAATAAATGAATTAATGAATATATGAATTAATGAATAAAGGATTAATGAATAAATGGATTAATGAATAAATGAATTAATGAATAAAAGGATTAATTAATAAATGGATTAATGAATAAATGAATTAATGAATAAATGTATTAATAAAATAATGGTTTAAGGAATAAATGGATTAATGAATAAATGAATTAATGAATAAATGAATTAATGAATAAATGAATTAATGAATAAATGAATTAATGAATAAATGAATAAATGAATAAATGGATTAATGAATAAATGGATTAATGAATAAATGAACATCAAAAGGATTTTTTTCTGTTGATACTTTTTACCCAAAAATATGCTCAATTCAGCGAATAAAACCCTATAACACAAGCACATTGAACTTTATTAATGAATAAATGAATTAATGAATAAATGAATTAACTACTGGTTTGATTTTGTGTTTCTAAAGTTAGGTTTGTATTGCACAATTATGTTTTGGTTTACTCATAGTATTGATTTAATAATAATACAAGCAGAAATAAAACAAGGAATATATATATACATATAAATAGAAAATATTTTTTTTTTTAACTGATATTAAAAATATTTAGCCGTTTTGACGGGCAAGCAAAGTATATATAAAGATGAAATGGTATCCTGAAGATTAAATAAACGTTGAAAAGTAAAGAAATTTTTGTTGACTTTTTGCTCCAGAAAAAAAATAAATAAAATAAAAAATGAGGGCAAGGGGTTAAATAAAAAAAATCCTTCCTCTTCATATAGGTAAAGTAAACATACAAACCAAAAAACCAGCTCTAGGATTTATTTCTAACTTAATTCTTGACATCAAAGGTACACAACAAAAAGGGAAATATATTTTATTAATGGCGAAACATTTTTAAATTTACATTAAAAAGATTTAAAATAATTTCATTGCTATTTTTATATTTAAAATCTGAATAGTTATATAATCAGGATTTAAGGTTTAAGATCTCTTGAAAGGATTAGAACTTGTGAGGTTGCATCAAATGATGTTTTTCTATTAAAATTTTGTGAGAAAATTTGTGTTGAAACAACACACCTTTCTTCTCACTCCTTTTATACTATTTGTCTTTTGCAGAAATACTATTCCTTTGCTTTCTTAATTAATTACCCCCCAACCCCAGCACACTGCCACCCTTTTCCCCCATATCACCCACCTCTCTTCTTTTATTTAAGGACTGCCCATATTAATCTAGCTAATATTAGTTATAATTGAAGACAATCCGAAGAAAGTTAATATTATAACTTGACAAAATGTAGAATGAAAAACAGATTTTCGAACATTTTCAAAAAAACTGATCCCAGAATGTTTAAACTTCTGGATAGTAATCAAAGTATGTTTTTACTCTACTGGATACTAATTATGGTTTGTTTAAACTACTGGATACTAATTTTAGTATGTTTACATTACTGGATACTAATTATAGTATGTTTACACTACTGGATACTAGTTTTAGTATGTTTACAACTTTACACCACTGGATTTTAATCAAAGTATGTTTACACTACTGGATACTAATTATAGTATGTTTACACTACTGGAAATTACTTAAAGCATGTTTACACTACTGAATACTAATTACAGTATGTTTGCACTACTGGATACTTATTATAGCATGTTTTCACAACTGGATACAAATTAAAGTATGTTTTTACACTACTGGATACTAATAATAGTATGTTTACACTACTGGATACTAATTATAGTATGTTTACACTCCTGGATACTAATTATAGTATGTTTACACTACTGAATATTAATCATAGTAAGCCAACACCACTGGATACTAATCAATGTATGTTTTTACACTACTGGATACTAATTATAGTATGTTTATACTACTGGATACTAATCATAGTATGTTTACACTACTGGATACTAATCAAAGTTTGTTTTTACACTACTAGATACTAATTTTAGTATCTCTAGCTTGTAACCCCCCCCCCTCTTCCCCTGAATCCAAACTATGAACACGAAACATTAGACCTAAATATCTTAGGCTTTAACAACAATATTCAGGTTTTAGCAAAAATAAATTTGAATTTCTTCCTCCAATGTCTATTTTTAGTTTATTTTTTATATTTTCAAAAGTATTTAAGAAGAGAAGCTAATTCAAATAAACTGAAAACTGCCACAAGCTTAAATTTTCTAATCATATATCATCGTCGCAATCTGATATCAAATAGTCACAACTTGAAATTGCAAAGGTTTTCACCATAAAGATATAAGAATAAAATTAGAGTTCGTGGAGAATGCTCATTTCCTTCATTAGTAAACAATTAGAAAGGGGACGTAGAATTGCAAAACATCAGATTGCAAAAATATAAGGATTGAAATTAGAGTTTGTGGAAAGTGGATGAGCTTCAGAAAAAAATCTCTCTGTTCCTCGATCAATGCAAAACGCAGAGGATAAGCCTTTTTTAGTTCAACGTCTGAAAATAATTTGATTTTATACGATTCGAACAATATGTTACAAAGAAAATTCGCAAAACTATGAAAATGAGAGCAGCAAGGTTTCGGTTAAAATAAAAACGTGAATATTCACTCAACCATGTTTACCTAAATAGTTATATTTAATAGCTAGAAGTAGTAGACATGAAAACATGCAGTACTCGGTAAACAGTATATTGACACTGTACGTAACATTATAAACAATGTGTACATTGCAATGTAGTGTACAGTGTACGTACATACGTTGAAGGGTTGAAATCTAAATCAAATTTCTCTCTGGATTTCTCTGCACCCCAGCTCATAAAGCATTAAGCAATGTGCTTAAGATAGTTGATGGTGCATGCATAGCATTTCTGGACTCTGCTCTTAAAATTTGAACCTTATTCTGGACTCTGCACTCGCAGATTGCACATAAATTGTCTGGGCTAGCGGAATCAGTGGGGAGAAAATTTACAGAAACAAAATGAAAAAAATCTAAAAACCCAAATATTTTGCATAGAGGAATTCTCAGTATCCGAGGGGGGGTTTTGAGAACCAGAAAATATTTGAAAAGTAGAAGAGAGTATGTTTATTAAGAATTTTATAAATGAATTAATGAATAAATGAATTAATGAATAAATGAATAAATGAATAAATGAATAAATGAATAAATGAATAAATGANTCATGAGAAAATATTTTAACCCCCTCCCCCTGAAGCTGCCTGTAACGGGAATGCTACCCACCGGCTGAGGAAACTGCATGGGATGGTAAATGTACAGAAACCAAAACATCTTTATCTACTGGACATATTTATTCTATTCACACGCGTACCACATTCGTACAAATATAAACTTTATTTAATTTTCTGTAAAATCATATCATATTCAAGAATTATTCAATTTGATAATTCTGACAAGGCGACAAGTGCTGACAAGTACATAACAAGTTTGGACAAGCTGGATTAGATACTGACAATTGGAAAGTAGTACAGAGTACACTGACGACACAGAGTACAGTGTACATAGTATATAGAATAGGGTACAGAGCAAAGAGTACAGTGCAGAGTACGTACAGGGTAAAGAGTGCAGAGTGCAGGATAAAGAGTGCAGAGTGCAGGATAAAGAGTACAGAGTACAGAGTACAGAGTACAGAGTACAGAGTACAGTGTACAGAGAACAGGGCACAGGGTACAGAGCACAGGGTACAGGGTACAGGGTACAGGGTACAGGGTACAGGGTATAGAGTACAGGGTGGAGTACAGAGTTAACTATCCCTTTGCTTGAAGTATATTGAAGCAAAGTCAGCCTGTGGCAGTTAACCAGCAAGGCTGGATGAGTGTCTACCATGGAAAAACTGTATTACAGATGACGCAGAACAGTTTACTGTTTACCTATTGGCAGATAAGCGTTTAAAACAATTAATTTAAGATACAGTTTTCTTCTTAAATAATCAGAGTTGTGTCTGGGGTTATTGAAAACATTTCATTTCCAGTGTTAATAATGAAACTACTAGATATCCTCTGTATCATTACATGTCTATGCCTCCCGCCCCCCCCCCCTTTATTGGGTATACCCTACCCCAGGTCAAATCCAAGTTTTGGGTTATTTCAAAGGGGGGGGATTACCCTAGGGGGAGGGGAGTTTAGAGTCACCATGGGGAATACTAGGCTTGTAGAGGGATGCTCTAGCCCCCTGGGGAATATTTACAGGTTTCTTGCGTTTATTTAGCCCCTCCCCCCGTTTTCATGGACTAGAGAAGGAGGCCAAGGAAGCTATACATTCCATTGGAAGCGAGGGGGGGGGGTGGCTACCCCCATCCCACAATTTGGGGCTCAACCTTTTATTGTATTATTCCCGAACCTACAGGTATTATTCCTCTGTCGAGCGTTCATGACAAATTAAAACTAACAGATCCCCCTCCCCTTTCATCGCTCCATAAAGACTGGATTAACAAGGTAGATTCCCAAATTGCTTGTAAATGATAAGTATTGATAAAAAATGATCTTGACAAAAAATATAACGCCAGAAAAACTAATTTCAACTTCAAAAGTCTATTTAATAAAAATAATTTTGGACTTATTATAATACTAGTTTTTCTGTTATTAAATAGTTGCCCGAACTGATGGGAAAAAGAATAAACGAAAAATGGAAAAGGTTGCAAGAATGTATTATATTTTGGTTATAAGCATCATCGAACTGATTTTTTTTAAAGTTGGACAGTGTTTTCTTAGTCAAAAGAAAGGAAAAACCCAAAATATTTGTTATTTATCTGTCTGAAATATAGTAGATGCCCGAACTACTTGTTCTGGATTAGACCTGACGCTGGCATCAAGCCAATATCATCAAAATCTGTTACATAATGCTTCTGCCAAAAATTAGATTTTAATGTACTTCCTAACTTTTACATCGACTTTCTTTCCCCATAATTTTCCAAAAATACGTACGTTTTATTCCAGGACCACCATTTTGAACATGAAAATAAGAGAAGAAGACTTGTTAAGGGATGCTTGAGAACCATCAGGAATCTGAGCATTCTTTAAATTCTTTGATTTTTTTTTACAGAAAAATGTTGGGGGTTTTTTCCTAGCTTTTCTAGATCATTACTTAAATAAGAATTCTGCACCTTTTCTACATAGTAATTAGTAGTAATTATTTTTTTATTTATGAAAAAAAAGATACAAAATTCTTCACAAATAAGTGTTTCATGAGAAAATATTTTAAAACCTCCAAAAATAGAGGTTGTGGAAACACCCAATTCTAGAAAAATATAAAAAATATTAATCAAAGGGAAAGGAAAGGAAAGTTACGTATTTATTGTTTACATTATATTCAATATAAACTGGTGGAGGATTGTTAGTATTTTTCGACGATAAACTAACAACTTATAGAAACAAAAATAAAAGATTTATTTGTAATGTTAAAAAAAAATTAAAATGAGCTTTATGGGTTGTGAAAAAGATATAGGTTCTACGCAAAACGGGCATTTTTAAGCATCTTTTTAATTCGCGCCGATTTTTGACATCCTTCAAGTTTTTTTGAGTCTTATGCTATTTTTAATCTTTTTGGTCTTTTCTTTGTAAAATCGTCTTTGCTTTCTTCGATTCTTTTGCAGCAAACATTGCATGTGTTAGAATTAAAACATGTGTTCTCCTGATAAAAATCTTCAATTAAATTCTGTTTAAAATTCGAAATAAGATTGAGATTTGAAAGCTTAGAAAAGTGTCGTTTATTTTCATATCATATTTTAGGGAAATTGTGAGAAGCTAGGAAGCAGTTCAATTTTAATAGATTTCACTCTAGGAATATTAAAATTATTTTTGTTTCCAAGATTTGCGTTTTTGATTTTAATAATATGAAATCTTTTTTAAATATTGGGGGTAATTGGTCTCATTAAAATTGAAAAAAAAATTTTTACATTAAAAATTCCTAATTTTCTGCAGGGTAGTATGTTCAAAGCCCAAAAAGCCTCCACTGTGTGACTTATTCTAGGTAACTCAATCAGCAACCGAATAACTTTCTTTTGCAATGATTTTATCTTATCAATATTTTTGTTTGAAGTTCGCATTAAAAATGTTGAACTAAATTCTAAATGAGAGTGGAAAAGGAGTAATAAAGCAATTTCATGGTTTCAAAGCTTAAAAAGTTTAATTTTTTCACAGCATGAAGTAAAAAAGTTAGTCGCCTGTATATCTTTTTTAAATAGTCATTAAAGTTTAATTTAGTATCCAGCCATTTTCCCAATAATCTCACTGAATCTGCTTCTTTTAAGCGTTCAATTTTTCGTGTTGTTTCTCGTAATTTAAAGAAAACATTTAGAGAATTTGAAAATAAAATTGCATCAGTTTTCTCAAAGTTAATAGTAAGTTTATTAGACATGTACCAACAAGTTTTTTTTCTAATTCTTTATTTATTGTGTCTGTCAGAGTATTCACGTTCTTACATTTTGATGCCACATTTGTGTCGTCGGCAAAAGCTACACTGAAAAGTTTGTTAGGTTGGAAGAAGTCATTTACATATATAATCAACAGCTTAGGTTTGATCCTTGAACAAGACCCATCCCTAATATTTTAGGGTACCTCCTTTCTTGCATTTTTATTTTTATTTTTTTTTGTAAAGGAAAATGTTTTTCAAAATTCATGAAAAAATGATTAAATACTAGGCAGACCACATTTGGGAATTGGGAGGACAAGGGCTATTTTGGTCTTATCGTTAAATTTATCATATTTGTAAAATTAGATTCTAAAGTCGATCGATTAAGTATAAATTAATTCCGGGTCTTTCTGGTTAGGACTGAATGAAAGAAAAAAGTATTAAGTAAAAGAAAAAACTATTTAACAAAAAAAACATTTACTTGTTTTTTGAATTTATTGAATTTTTTGAATTTATTGAATTGAGCTTAATCAAATTTTCTTTGAAAATGATTTAACATTATCGGGGTGTCTGACTCTTATGGATAACTTCGGAGTTTACTACATGCTATATTTGCTACCTTTTTAATGAATGTTTAAAACGTTTCAATGCACAGTACAAAAAAATATTAATACGAAAAAAAATATATTTTTATTTCAATAATTTGCATTAAATGCCTAAAAAATGTTTGTTTTTTGGTTGTCAAGTGATGTTCAAGTGTTAGTACATTGATACGTTTAATCTGGGATTTCAATATTCTTAAATATTCGAACTACAACTTCTTGTTCGTGGATTTAGTTGGATCAACAGTTTTCTAGACTCTGGCCGGGGGAAGAATTTATATTTTCTGAACTCTGAGACTGTCTAGTCCAACACAGGCAGGTGATACAAGGCAGGCTGGGACAAATCACTTAACAGGGTAGTTCCTACTCCACCTAGTTTTAACCCCTCCAACTGGCCGACATGTTTTTTACATGCAGTGTCTTTAATCAAAACATGGAGATTATTTGAATAAATGATGACAAAAATAAAAATAGAACTATTAAACAGATTAAAAAATGAATTAGTGAATAAATTTTGGATCAGTATCAATGCACAATTTTTGAAAAAGATCAGTAATAAAAGTGATAAATGATGAACAAATTTCATCTTCTAAAATTTAATTATGTTGAGAGAAAAATGGCAAAGCTGATGAAAAAGCCTGATTAAATATAGAAACAAATAAACAAAACATAAACAAACTAATTTGTTCAAGGTAAATGTGATATAATTGTGGAAAGCTTGAATCTAAGCTCCCCAGTCGGTTCAGTAGACTTTCCAGGCTAGAGAGAGGGGGGCGGGAGGGGTTAATTCCCCCGGGAATAATTATTTTCTTTTTAGGTTGCTGTGTGGACATGAGTTTTCACGTCAAAATTTGGTCTGATCAGTTCAACAATTTAGACGTTCAATGTGTACAGACAACCAACCAATCAACATATAAATACAAGATAATATTAAAGAATATGTATAGAGCTCTGTAACTCTTAGTTTTTAGTAAAGCTGGAATTATACATCTTAAAATACAACTAAAGCTGAAAGTTTACCGCGTGAAATTTTAATAAATTTGAAAATAAACACCTGGAAATAAATTAAGAAATGAACAAATAACGGTAAAAAAAGTAAAATTACCTCCATCTTTAGTATCAAAAGATTCCAAAAAAGAGTCCGTTTCGGACTTAACAACGCCCCCAAGATCATTGGGCGTAAGAGGGGGTTTTTTCTCCTCCTGGCTAGCTGGGTTAGAACCGCCTTCTGCCTCTCCGCCCGCCGAGGGGGGCGGAGAAGCGCTATCACAGCCGGGTGTTGTAGAATTCTCTCCGTTAGAAACAGGGTTCCCCTGCCCGTCAGGGTCTGATTTAATAGAGGGGGCGGGGGACCCCTCCCCCCCTTCACCAACCTTACTAGTATTCACTGTGCTAATGGTCAAGCCACTCTTGGCTTGTAAATTGGCCTGGGTTAAACTACTTTTTTCTTTCTTCATCTTCAGGATTATAACTTGATCTCCTGAAACAATTAATATGTATTAATTTAAGTTGTTTATGGGTTTAAAATATGGTAGAAAAATAATATTTGTTTGGTTCAATACTTGGAGTCATTTATAAAACATGGTCGGTAAAACGTAAATACTTAATTATTAAAATTGTAAGGAAAGTTTACCCAGTAAATAAAAATAAATACCACAGCAGTTTTTGTAAAAAAAAAATTTAACAAGTTTTTAAAAAATGATAGTTTCAAACTGAAAATGTTTCTGATAATTTTTAAAAATTTGAAAGGTTTATTCTGATAGGAGAAAACAACATGAAATTTTTATGGATTTTGTTGGCCCAATTTTTAAATCATTTTTAATTTTGTAAATAAGAATTTTTTTTACAGCTCTGGTAAAAATAAAATATCTTATATCAACTGAAAGTCTGTTTAGGAAAGAGAAAGCAATTCCAAAAATAAAAAACTTCCGATAGTAAATGAAACCTGGTGAAAATAAATGTCAAATTAATAATTAAATAAATCCCGATATTTAGCGTGGAAGAAAGGAAAGCACCGGAGTAATTAAGTGACGTAGGAATTGTTGATTTATTTACTTAAAGAGACTCTCAATCTAGTCACATACACGATTCACAACGTTACCATATACACTTTTACCCAGAAAAAAATAGCGCGATTTTTTCTGAAAAGGACAAAAAATGAAGTGCGGTTTCTTTCTTGAATTGACTGCGGTTGATGCAACAGAGACAAGATTATAAAACGCAAATATCCTCCAGTCTTACTCATTTTTCTTTCTCATCTGTTCCATATCTTTTACTACTCATTCTTCATGAATCCTTCAATCTTCATTCTTCATGAATCCTTCAATCTTCTTCATTTTTCCTGAATTCTTCTATTCCCATATTCCCATAATCCCATATTCCCATATTCGCATATTCCCATATTCCCTAGTACCCAGGTGCTGCTGATTATATCCTAATAACCACGTTATGATAATATCCATGTGCTGCTGATTATAGCCTAATATCCAGGTGCAGCAAACTATAACCTGATATCCAGGTACTGCTGATTACAACCTATAACCAAGCGCTGATTTTATCCAGGTGCTTCTGAGTATAGCCTGATATTCAGGTGCAGCGGAGTATAGCCTTACATCCAGGTACTGCTGATTTTAGCCTGATATTCAGGTACTGCTGATTATATCCTAATAACCAAGTGCTGATATTCAGGTGAAGCTGATTATAGCCTGATATCCAGACATTAAATAATGTTTAATATAAGAATAAAACTACCCCGTAGTAGAACTATAAAACAGCTTTCTATTTCTCTTTGTAAACTTTAGAAATGTCATAAGTATCATATATCTATTCCTGGTCTGAATTATTAATCAATTTCATTTGCTGATCGATAGGAAGGATCGGATAGGACGAATCGAAAAAAAGGACGGATTAAAAAGTAAGTATGTAAGTAGAATATTTTGAATTATAGGACAGATTAGAACAGACAAAAAATGTTTAAAAGATAAAACGGCAAAGTAAAAGTGGGCGGAACGGAGATTGAATTGGAAGGTACAGAAGAGATTTTGTAAGATTGGACGGATTAGGTCAAGAAAACAATTAAAAAGAATTAGAATGATAGGACAGATTGAAAGGATAGAAAGGACCAGATTTATAATAAAAGGATACGATGAAAGGACAATAGGTTAAGTGTTAAAAAAGATAAGACGAATTAGAAAATTTAAATGAAAGGGTAGGGACGGGATAGGAAATGATAGGACATAAATGGAGAAGACAATGTAGGGGTCCTGAAAATCTATGACCTGTTAACCAAAAGCTCAACAAATGATTGATTTACAGTTAGAACTGATTGATTTGATAGATTCAACATGAATTAAAGTGTGCGACCTATTGTTTACGATGATGGATCGCCAATTTTTTTTTCGCTCTTTGAATTATAACTTTTTATTTCACTTTCAAGAAATCAATTATTCAACTACATTTATAAGTCTTTTCCTAATTCAAACTAAACTTTGGAAGAACGAATATTCAAAATTGAGATTTTTCATCATTTCTGAATTAATCATCAAGTTGAGAAATGTCAAATACGATAAAAAGGGAAAAAGGTTGCGTCAATGTAAGAAAAGAATTTTTAGAGAGAGTAAAGTTCTTAGATTCACATTTTCGGAATTTTCCGTCGAATAAGTTTAGTAAATAAAGGGTAAAAGTCCACAAAAGTCTGTTTTTCAAAATGCAAATTTTAGAGATAAAAAGATTTTTTCATTTTCGTTTTTGTATAAATGGTTTAAGTAATAAAGATTCAAGTCATTTATTGCATTTTTCCAATGCAGGGATGATCTGTATTATATATTTGAAAAGGATAAAACAAACACGGAGTACGGCTCTATCTTAATTTAAGGAATTTGAAATTTTTTTATCAAATTAAAAAACATTCATTTCATCGTACTCCGAACTATTTTTCCATCACATTTATTCCTTCATACCGTATTCAGAAATTTGTCAGGGGGGGAGGAGGGGGGGGGGATAAATTTTTTTACTTTCTAGAGGGGCGCATCCTCCGTTGGGGGCTGAATACTTCCCTGTGAACCATCTCAGCCCTCATGCCCCCCCCCCTTGTTAACTCTAAAAATGTTGGCTATTTAAGTGAAGAAGAAAGGAGAAGGGGGGGGGGGGTCAAAAACTAGCAAAATCTAACCGTATGCAATGAAAGAGTTGAAATAAATTCTTGACAGAGAGAGAGAGAGAGAGAATAGAACCGGTTGTAGTGTAGTTTCTGTGAACTAGTTCAGTCTCAATTCTATCGATCCAACCCGAAATCTCAAATTATGTTGAGAATAGAATCTCGCAGGTTGAACTTACACACAGTGCAACACTCATAAACACCAAATATTCTTTGAAAACAAACTAGCCTTCGTCGATTTTAAATTAAGATTTAAAACCTAGACGTACTTAACGTTTCTGTTTTAGTCCCAACTCCCATAACTACGAAACCTTCCATGGAAAAATTCTTGATTTAATTTTTCAATTTAATTTTTTTTTATTTTTATTAAATTTAAAATAAATTGGGTTGGATCTAAAACATCTTTTTTTCTAATTCGTCACTTTTCCTTGTACAGTTTTATTCCCAGCTTTTATAAGAAAAAGTAACTTGGCAAAAATTTCCACACTTGAAAAGAATTTCATGAAGATTTGAAATGTGTTATCAGAGATAAAGAAAATGATGAACTTTGTAACTCGAGAGAGAGAAAATATTTCCATTTTAAAATGGAAATTTAGATGAATAACAAATTAACGAACAAAATGACCCAAATAACGGTATTGATTTTGGCTTCCTACAAGTATAGTTCTGTATTTCGTAAAGAATAAATAGTTCTATAAAAATACATCACAATTATTACTTCTTCACTTATGATATTTATTATTTAAAGTTCTTGAATTTTCCCTCCGAAATAAATAAAATGTACTTCTGATAGAAAATGTGTTTTTTCTTCTTCTAAATCTCCCTCCTCCCCCAATATTGTTGTATTTATTGTTAAGTTTTAACTAAAGTTTCTGCCAGAAGCAATATCGAAATTGCAAAAATTCCAAATAGATAAACTTGGAAGAATTTAAACATTCAACAATTCTTGTTTTAATATTATGTATAAATTACAAAATTCGGTCAATTAAAATAAAATAAGTTGTGTTCTTTAGAAGCTTGTTGAGTGAGATGAGGAATGAAAAACTAATGAAAAGCCCTTTTCCAGTAAATATAATAGAGAAACTCTAAATGTAAATTTTAGTAACAAAAAACTTCCGTAAAATTAAAATAATTTTTTTCTTCAAAAATCATATTTTCAACTTCGTTGTGAAACACATTGTTTCTTTTCCCGTTTTTATAAATTGAAGACGTCGTGTTATAAATAATATTCCTTATAAACCAATTTTTTTTCCAATATAGAAGTTCTTATTTTCCAAAAAAGCAGTGTTTAGATTCCATTTCATTTTGAAGCGGATCCTGGATCCGCCCAGGAAAAATTGAACCAGATTTGGATTTTTTTCGCTTATTTTTATGCTTAAACTTGATGAACCATTCAGAAATAAGGACAGGTTTGAGTTTGTGGAGCAAAGTTTCTTTTTACAGCTTTTGGTTAATTTTTGTCCCTTGGATCCGGATCTGAGGATCAGCATCTTTTTGCGGATCCGGATCCAGGAATCCACAATGTTGCGGATACAACAAATCCGGATCCTTAGTTACAAGAAAAGCGAAACAAACTTTTTTTAATCTGAGAATACATGATTGAGATATTTATATCTTATCATCTTAAATTTGAATACATGAAGGCTGAAGCCTCCACTTTTTCTGAAGGGAATCGACATATATAAACATATCGGATTTTAGATTTAGATGTTAGATTTGTAAGAGTAAGTTTCTACCTGTTTAATTCCTTTCTTTTCCAGTTTCATCCTGCTGGACACGATAGTACAGTAGGATGCGTCCCCATCCTATACCCACCATACTGGAAAAGTAGGGAAGGGAAGGTCTGGAGGGAAAAGGGAAGTATGAGAGGGAAAAAGGAATGTTGAGAGGGAAAGAGGAAGGTTGAGAAGGAAAGAGGAATATAGGGATTTGATAACTACGGAAGGGACAGGGAAGGTAGGGAATCGATAGAGAAGGTAGGGAAGGGAAAAGGAAGTAAAGAAAGTAGAAGGGGAAGGTTGGGAAGTTAGGGAAGGGGAAGGTAGAGAGTGATGGTAGGTTGGCAGATAAAGAAGTGAAGGGAAGGGGAAAATAGGGAAGAGAAGGGCTGGAGCTCTTTACTTCTACATATCTTACTTTATCTAGAATCAGGAAATTATTCACGAACTATTTTTAGAAATTAGATTTTGTAGTGAGTTTATTACTTTGTAGGAAAATTGGAACCTTTAAAAGACAAATATAAATTTATAAGTGAGGCCCCCCCCTCCTGCCCCCACCCCCCCAAAAAAAGAATCCTGATATTCACAAAATTAATAAATAAAATTTTAATGCAATTTTGATTTTAAAAACTCTTAAAAATTCATAAAAATAATTTTTAATCCACTTATACACCAAGTTCTCCAATCATATTTGAGGCAAATCGGCCCTGGGGTTCAATAAGTTATGATCCGGACAGGCAAACAGACATTTAAGCTAATTACTATCATTATTAAATATCAAAAACTGTTCGAAGATTTATTAAGTATATATTTTTATATATAGATATCATTAACTCGTAATAATTATTTTCAACTTCTTTACAGGGAAGCTAAGGATATTTTACTTTTTCAAGATTTCCAAAGATCAATTTTGCCTATAACGCATTCAGATCGTAGCGAGGGTTTTAAATCGAAAACTGGATTTTTCTTGTGAAAACTAAATTTGTATTTTGAAAATTAGATTTGAAATCTAGATTTGTCTTGTGCATATTAGATGTTTATGAAAAAACTGGATTTTAAAAAATAAACTAGATTTGTTAATTAAAACTAAGATTTGTTTAAAAAAATAGATTTTTCTGATTAAAAGCAATCTGTTTGTCAAAAAACGGATTTATGTATTAAAAACTAGATTTGTTTATTAAACACTTGACTTGCTTCTTATTTGATTTTAAAAACTTGATTCTTGATACTATCTGTGTATTTAAGATATAAATAAGTTTAATTTAAAACTAAATCTGTTTATCAAAAATAGATTTTTTGTTTCAAACTAGATCTGTTCAGCAAAAATAGATTTAGCTAATTTAAAAAAACTCGACTTTTTGATAAAAAAAACCAATGGGTTTCTTGTCAAAATAGTTTCTTGTTCATTACAGAATCTAGATTTGCTTACAAGAGGAGCTACGAGGTGACAAAGTCGTAACATTCACAAAAGTTTGACCTTTCTCTACTGTGTTGCTTAACACTGAGATGTTTTTTAAACTAGAATTGTTTTTAAACTGGAGTTTTAAATTTAAAAAACTGGATTTGTTTATTGAAAACTAGATTTCTTTATTAAAAACTAGATTTGTTTATATAAAAACTAGATTTGTTTATTAAAAACTAGATTTGTTTATTAAAAACTAGATGTGTTTATAAAAAATAGATTTGTTTATTAAAAACTAGATTTGTTTATTAAAAACTAGATTTGTTTATTGAAAACTAGATTTGTTTATTAAAAACTAGATTTGTTTATTGAAAACTAGATTTGTTTATTAAAAACTAGATTTGTTTATTAAAAACTAGATTTGTTTATTAAAAACTAGATTTGTTTATTAAAAACTAGATTTGTTTATTAATAACTAGATTTGTTTATCAATAACTAGATTTCTTTATTAATAACTGGATTTGTTTGCTGTAAAAATAGGTTTGTGAAGATTGAATTGTTTTCATAAATAAATAAAAATTTGAATTATTAGTTTGTTAGTTTATTTAAGCGTACGAAATACCTAGGTGAGCAGTTCATGACAAAGTATAAAAACTACCTCTATGTACAGCAAAACCAGTACATAATAAAACTGCATGTACAGAACTAGATATATAAGAACAGATTGTAAATCGAACTAGGTTTGTACAGTAGAACAGAATATAATTGTTTACAGTGAAGCTTAATCTGAGTGAAAGTTAGTTTACATGTCATGACCCCTAGGCACTAGAATTTACCCACTTATATCCCCCCCCCCTCTCTTCTCTACACTTCTCCTCTTCATTCTTCATTTCGATTACATTTTTATTCATTTTTTTTTCATTTTTATTATATTTTGAGTTTTTTTTCCATCAATACTTTTCCCACTCTAATTTTTTATACATCCCCCCTACCCTTAAATCATTCCTAATCCCTCCCCCACACACATCTAAGTGTACCTGCTTTTCACTGCACCCTCTTCCTTTATCAACCTTCTTTTAATTTTTCCCCACCCCTTAATATCTCTCTTGATTCTCATCCTTTCCCCCTTCCCAGCTTGATTCTCATCCTTCCCCCCTTCCCAGCTTGATTATCATCCTTTCCCCCATGATTCTTATCTTTTCCCCCTTCCCACCTTGATTCTCATCCTTTCCCCCTTCCCTGCTTGATTCTCATCCTTTCCCCCTTCCCAGCTTGATTCTCGTCCTTTCCCCTTCCCACCTCGGTACTTATCTTTTCTCCCTTCCCACCTTGATACTCATCCTTTCTCCCTTCCCACCTTGATTCTCCTCTTTTCCCCCTTCCCAGCTTGATTCTCATCCTTTCCCCTTCTCAGCTTGATTCTCATCCTTTCCCCTTCCCAGCTTGATTCTCATCCTTTCCCACTTCCCAGCTTGATTCTCATCCATTCCCCCTTCCCACCTTGATTCTCATCCTTCAACCCTTCCCAGCTTGATTCTCATCCTTTCCCCCTTCCCAGTTTTATTCTCATCGTTTCTCCCTTCCCTGCTTGATTCTCATCCTTTCCCCTTTCCCACCTTGATTCTCATCCTTTCCCCCTTCCCCCTTGATTCTCATCCTTTCCCCCTTCCCAGCTTGATTCTCATCCTTTCCCCCTTCTCAGCTTGATTCTCATCCTTCCCCCCTTCCCAGCTTGATTCTCATCCTTGATGCTAAAAACTTAACTTTAGAGGGATCAACATAAACTTAATACTAATTCATAGAACTGAGGCCGAATTTAAAGAATTAAAGCCGCGACTTAAATTTAAGACACTACTTAAATATGGTTGGTTCCACTTAAAATTGTATTCAATGTTTCAAGATTTAAGCCAGCGCTTAATAGAAACCGCTTTTTGGCGGATTTGAGACGAGGCTCAAATTCATTAAATTTGGACTCTGGCTACTATAATAATAACAAATTGTCTTCAGATTCTTATAGATTTTGGTGCAAAAGACGTCACTGCCAATTATAAAAAGGAATGAAAACATAGTTTTAATCAAACTTCCATTTCCAGAGTGGCATGTTAATTGTCCATGTCCAATTCGCATTGGTACAGTTGAAATATTTTTCTTTTCAAGAGTGCAAGAAGGGCATATTCACGATTTCTCTTTAAAATTTTCTTTAGGGGTTCAATAAAAGTGACCAGCGGATTTCTAGCTTCAGAAACAATCCAGGAAATTGTGAGAATTCGACAATTCTCAAGAAAGAAAAATGGCGATATCTTATATATCATAAATAAGTTAAAGGTATTAAGGGTTACTTGAAATAACAGCACTCACGTATAACAAGTACAACGAGATTAGGTTGAACAAAAATTTGGGCTTGAGTTATTTAAACATGCAAAATAAAGATAATTCTTTGTTTGCATAAAAAGTAGCTGGGCAGGACGGCTATGCAACTTTTTACTGCCTTAATGAAATTTATCTTGATTTTGACCCATGTTACTGAAACCAACGCAACCCAAGTTATAAACAGTTAAACCACAACGGGGAGGGGGAAATATTTTTATGTAATTATTATTGGACTTTTTAAAGAAAATATAGATTTTAAGGTTATTATTCGCTGAATTGGGGGGAAATGATGTTTTTAGGAAAACAGGAACATTCGAGTAAATTATAGTATTCAAATGTGGACCAACTTGCCAGTTGACATGCAATTTTTTATTTCTAAAATTACATACAAATTTAAGCGACATTGACGAAAGTGAACTGGTTAAGTTATTTCGTAAATATTTAACTTTTGCCAATGAAAATGCTAGAATGAGAAAGTCACAAGACAATTATAAACCTTTTACCTTTCTTTAAATAGTATAATTAGTTGCAAGGCAAACTGAGGGAGGCCATACTGAAATTAAACGGAGGTGTGTTGAATATGAAAAGACCCGTATAGGATCGAATCAAAATCGGAATCGATGGTTAACTTTCATCTGTTGGGAAATAAATATTAATATTTCCCATTTTCTTGAGAGGTTACAAGGTAGAATAAGTTAAGTAAAAGTATAGTAAGAATTGGTACAGGGTAGGAATATTTAGGATGGGTACAGGCTAGAGGAAAAGCTAGGACGGGTACTGGGTAGGAATATTTAGGATGGGTAGAGGCTAGAGGAAAAGCTAGGACGGGTACTGGGTAGGAATAGTTACGGTACAGGGTAGGAATATTTAGGATGCGTACAGGCTAGAGGAAAAGCTAGGAAGGGTGCTGGGTAGGAACAGTTAAGATGGGTACAGGCAAAGAATTATAATGTAAAGATAGTTATTTCAGAGGTGTACGCATTTTTAGTACTGCAGTGTACTGTCTCTGTAAAGTTAACACAAGACGGATGTCACAGTCTGACATGGGATCAATTTTCACATAAAAAAACGAACACAGCCCAGAGAGAATTGAAATCAATATGTACGCAGAGAATACGCAACAGCAATTAATTTTCCTTGCCTTATTACCTTAAGTACAGGGTAGAGAAAAAGTAAGGATGGGTACAGTGTAGGAAAAGTAAGGATGGGTACAGTGTAGGAAAAGTAAGGATGGGTACAGTGTAGGAAAAGTAAGGATGGGTACAGTGTAGGAAAAGTAAGGATGGGTAAAGGTAGAGGAAAAGTAAGGATGGGTACACGCTAGAGGAAAAGTAAGGATGGGTACAGTGTAGGAAAAGTAAGGATGGGTACATGCTAGAGGAAAAGTAAGGATGGGTACAGTGTAGGAAAACTAAGGATGGGTACATGCTAGAGGAAAAGTAAGGATGGGAACAGTGTAGGAAAAGTAAGGATGGGTAAGGGTAGAGGAAAAGTAAGGATGGGTAAGAGTAGAGGAAAAGTAAGGATGGGTAAGGGTAGAGGAAAAGTAAGGATGGGTAAGGGTAGAGGAAAAGTAAGGATGGGTAAGGGTAGAGGAAAAGTAAGGATGGGTACAGAGTAGGAAAAGTAAGGATGGGTACAGTAGAGGAAAAGTAAGGATGGGTAAGGGTAGAGGAAAAGTAAGGATGGGTAAGGGTAGAGGAAAAGTAAGGATGGGTAAGGGTAGAGGAAAAGTAAGGATGGGTACAGTGTAGGAAAAGTAAGGATGGGTAAGGGTAGAGGAAAAGTAAGGATGGGTACATGCTAGGAATGGGTTAAGTAAGAACACAAAAGAGTACCGGATTATCAAGTGCAGTAATTGCAAATATTGTCTAGACTTGAGACCATACGTACACTAGGTATCAGGAAATTATAGAGCCTAAACCTAGAGATATCCTAGAAGACCTGGAGATTATCAACCTTCAGATATCTTAACCCGGAGATATCTGAAACTAGATAAACTAGACAGTGCTTAGGATACATTTAATTTTGATGCTAATACGGATCCGGATCCGCACTGGAAAAAATGGACCCAGATCCTGATCCAGGTTATTTCTATAAAATTTACTAAATTTTTATAACAAAGCAGAATTTTCAAATTTGTCGTTATTTTTTCGCTTATTTTCATGCTGAAACTTGATGAACCATTCAGAAATCAGGAAATTTTTATAATCTCTTTTATTCAATAGTTCAGATTTAGGTTTTGTGATTAAAATTTGTTTTTGCAGTTTTTTTGGTTAATTTTTTGCCCATTGGATCCGGATCCGTGGATCCGCATATTTTTGCGGATCCGGATCGATGTAGCTAAAATCCTGCGGATCCAACGGATCCTAAGCACTGCCTACAGATATAATATCTAAACCAAGAGATCTAACCCAAAGATATATAGACCTTAAGATAACCCGGCATTCATCCTCGGATCCCAGTGGAAGTATTGGTCAGTGAGATGGATTTGAAAAGTTTTTTAATTAAAAATTGCAACAACTTAACTTTTGCCAATTTTAAGAAAGAATGATTCCTTTCTCGTATCACAAACACAATGCCCCCCCTCCCCCCTTTGTAATCTATAAAAAATGTGAAAATTTGATTTCAAATCATAAATACTTAACTTTTAAAAACTTCCGCCGGATAAAAAGTGAAAAGTTTGAGAAAATATTAAAAAATTCATTGGGAAACTTTTTACTTAGAACCCGAGAACCGTTGTTCAATGTACATACATAAATAGTAGGGAAATAAACTATAAACATACTATCGAGGAAAAGAGAGAAGACAAGAACCTACCGGGGAAAAACAGAAAACCTACCGTGGGAAAAGAGGAAAAACAGAACACCTACCGGGGGAAAAGAGGAAAAACAGAAAACCTACCGGGGGGAAAAGAGGAAAAACAGAAAATCTACCGTGGGAAAAGAGGAAAAACAGAAAACCTACCGTGGGAAAAGAGGAAAAACAGAAAACCTACCGGGGGAAAAGAGGAAAACAGAAAACTACCGGGGAGAAAAGAGGAAAAACAGAAAACCTACCGGAGGAAAAGAGGAAAAACAGAAAACCTACAAAGGGAAAAGAGGAAAACAGAAAAACTGCTGAAGGAAACGATGAAAACAAGAATTACTTGAGGAAAGGCGGAAAAGAGGAAAAAAGAAAACCCATACATGAGGAAAAAAAAGAAAACTCCCAAGGAAAAGACGAAGATGAAAAACGAAGAAATTACCACTCAAAACTGAAAACTTAAGCTATCTGTGTACAGAGGGTCTAGAAAAGTTTTTTAAATGGTATTTTTCACAATAAACATGGGGCTCGTGCAACTATGTTATGAAAATTTTAACAAATTTTCCCACGTTAGTTTTAGTTATAGTCTACAGGCAGTGTAGAATATTTAAAGTCGATGCACTCCTTTAACTATTTAATAAACCTGGGGGGCAAAGAACGTAAATAAGGCCGTCGTGTAAATGAAAAATATTAAAATTGCCAAAATATGAAATTGGAAAAATTTGAAAACACATTTAGAATGGTAACGGAGTAAAAGCGGAATATGTTGTGACACTCAGACAGGTGAAGATATTGTTATATTTATTTTATGAGAACTTTAAATAATATCATAATTAATTCAACCCAAGCTTTTAATTTGAAACGTTGGCTTAGAACTCATCAGTTTCCAATCTGAAATTGGACAAATCTTGACAAATTTCTTGCTTAACTGTCGCTTGTTAAATAATCCGTGTTGGGCTGCTACCAATTTTCTGAGAAATATATGCCATTTTTTTTTAATAAACTTTACAACTGATATCCATATGATAGTTAATGGTAATGTGCTCTCTAAAATATAATAAACTTCTACTTGTACTTTATTACTTCAAAATCATTTTTCATTTTAATTTCAATTTTCTAATCCAATTTCTATTTTTTTAGCTGGGAAATAATTGAGAATTAAAAAAATCCAGGAAAAAATCTTGACGTCGAAAGATATGACGTAGATCATCCATTGAATGAACGTCTTAAAGCAAGTACAAAAGAAAAAAAAATGACGACAAACACTCACCCCAAAAAAATCTTAAATATCAAAGAATTATATAAAAATTAAAAAGGATGCAAAAACTTGATTTAAAACGGAAGTATGTAAAATACCACTAAAAAATTGATTAATCTATCAATAAAAAAGCTTTTTAGCGATAACTATTTTTCTTAAAAATTGAAAACCGATAACCTAAAATAAATGAATTTTCAGGTGGTGCCGTTTTTGTTCCATGTAAATGTTAAACAAAAAATACATTAAATGTGAGAAAAAATATTTTAAAAATATAATTTGGTTAACTTCTTTTGCTCAGCTATCAAAAATTAACTCTCAAAAAAGTATGATATCAGCTTCTGTAAGTAAGTTTAAGGTATAAATAAAGCTGTTCATGAATTCTTGGAAGAAATGCTAGATTCAAATTATTGAATAAGAATGAACAGTTGTTTACACTGTGTTCCAAAGTTTAATAATATCAGTTATTGTATAAATGAAGATAACAAAATAAAGAACTCAATTTTGATCATCAATTTTACGATTTGTACAACCGATATGGGATTAAACACTGAATTAAAGGGACTGTTCGCTTAATTATCAGTGACCCTCTATGCAAAGATGGCAATACCCGATTCACAACGGTACTCTTGACACCGTTTTTTGATCAATTATGTGGAAGATATTGATTTTTTAAAAGTGTTTAATTTTAATGCAATAGAAATGCGCCCGTTACTAAGGAAACACACATGAAATCCGTTTTCAAACGTATAAATTTTGGTTCTTCTAGACCAGACAAAGCCTTTAAGTGTACCGTTGTGAATCAGACATTTGACATCTTTGCATGGAGAGTCCCTTGAGATTAGGCTTACAGCATTCAATAAATTGAACTACTGATCAACAAGATTTCAATATTAGCCTCAACTGAGAAAAATCTGAGTTTTTATCAATTTTTTTTCTCAGCTTGTTTCCAATATCTGTATATTACTTTATAAACAGATGTACACGATACAAACATTTGGTCCGGATATTTAACAAATATATATTGCACACATTTTATTAACTTAATCCAAAACAAGAAGAAAAAAACCGCATTTTAAATTAATTGTCACCAACCACCCACCCCCAGACCCCCGGGCATACATTCTGCTAACGATGAATATTTTATTTTAAGAAACAAATATTTTTAAAGATAATCTTAAACTTGTTCAGGTTTCATGATGCCGGGTCTGTCAGGAGATTTATGTACTGCATGAAGTTGACATGTGAAGGAAATCAGGAAAATCATGAAGTTCTATTTCGAGAAATCTGTGAGAAAAGAAAAAAATGGAGTGGAGAAACCCAATTAAAATATTGTTTTGTTTTTTTTCATTAATAAATTAGTAAGCCCAACGTTGTACTTTTTTTTTTATAAAATTATTCCTACAGCTTCGTCAGATTTAGAATTTGCTTCTTGCTAGTTGGATAATGTATAAATATTTTAGATATTTGTTTCCCATATTATTTAACTGTGTTTAGTAGATATTTGTTTACCATTTTATTTAACTGTGTCTAGTAGATATTTGTTACCATTTTATTTAACTGTGTCAAGTAGATATTTGTTACCATTTTATTTAACTGTATTTAGTACTCTCCGTGTAGTTATCAAATAAAAAGAAATAAAAACATAGAATATTTCTACTTTAATTCTTTAAACACATAAACAGAGGCATATTGGATATTAAATTTTTATCATGCGTATGAATAGAAATAGTACTTGCTCGTAAAAAATATCAATTTTTCTAAGTAAAATTCTGAATTTTAAGCACAAAAGAATATTTTTGGACAAAAAACTTAAAATGATTTTTTTTCAAAATTCAAGAACTTTAAGTGGTTACCGTATTAAATTTTATTTACCCTTCATTTAAAGAGGGGCGTGCCCGACTCACAGCAGTACTCTTTAAACCTTTGTCTGATCTAAAATTTGGAAGCTATCGTTGTTTTGCTGGTATAGTGTTTGAATTCTGGCCATTTTTGCCAGTCCCTTTTACTTTTAAAGTAAAAAATATGGATATCTTACTCATTTTTTTAATATAACATAGCTTATAGGGGCCCTCTATGAACTAAATATTACGTCCACAGTTCCTTTAGGGACCATGGACAACTATTCACTAATTTTTTATTCATATTCAAAATAACGTCTACAAAAATCCCCCTCGTCTTTATATGTGTATACGTTAACCTTTTCGTCAGTTTTGAGGGGGCTGTACAATTTCACTGTACACATTGCCTATCAGCATTCTATACTCGAAACCTTTCTCCGGGGAGTGTGGGTCAAAACTTCTTTATGTAGAATTGTTAAACTATTTAAATTTTAAACATTATGTGAATAGAAAAACTTTGGGTCCGTCCCAGTATACGACTTTTGGACCCCGCCCCCCCCCCCATCAATTTTTAACATGACCACTTATTTTTATGCAAAATTATTTATTTTATATTAATTTAGGGTTAGATAAGGGGCTGAGCGCCGCAGCTAGGACAGGCTAGGGGGCCGGGCGCTGCGGCCACATGGTCAATTATATCGATGTTTTACATACAAGATCCATGTAAAAAATTGATAGGAGGGGGGAGGGGGGGGGGCAAAAATCGCATACTAGAAAATTACGAAAACTTTCATCTTATTTCTCTAAAAACAAATCAAAAGTTTAACCACCATGGACAATAAAAACTTGTCCGAAATAAGTCTCCAAATGACTTCAAAAATAAGTATGGAAGATCAAAAAAAGGGTCACTATAATAATTAGTTAGGTGTCATAAAAAAATATTTTGTTACACTTTTTGGGAAGAATCAAGAAGTTCATGGAGCAATTCATTAAAATAATTTTAAACCCGTCCCAACACATAAAAATAACAATAAGGCGCAAAACAAAACAAACTAAAATAATAGGTCGGGTGGCATTGATAAAAATAGAAAAAAAGAAAATGATCTCACCCCATAAAGCGAATTATAAAGTAGAATAAGTTCACATGTTTCTTCTGAGCAGTGTACACAGGTCAATTCTAGACACCTCACACCACACACAACAGAGAGAGAGCGAGAGAGAGAGAAAACAGAGGTTTAACGGCTTTTTACTACATTCGGAATCAATGAAACCAGCCTTTTCTGTTGTTCACATGATAAGCAGTAACTTTATATTTCACAAGCACACATAGGATCCCCCTCCACTGCACAAAAATATGGTTTAATTCGAATTTAGATTAACTATGTATGTGTGGCCCCAGGGGCAGCTGTCTACAGTGTACTGAGCCGGCAGGCAGGTCGTATATCTGGAGGCGGCACGGGGCTGGACCGGCCCGGGTCGTAAAATTAGCCTGGCCCAGTCGGCCCCGAAAGAGAGAGAGAGAGTTAGAGAGAGAAACAGTCAGGAAGATATTGAGAAGTTATTGCTGGCCCGGTCCTAGAAAATAACCCGGTTCGCCTTAGAAATTGACCCGTCCCGCCTCATGATCTGGCCCGGGCGGGCAGGGGAGATATTGATGCTATTATGAGTGCCGGGCTGTAATCAGCGCCACCAGTGCTCAGAATTAAGAGGTTTAAACAATAAGAGATAAAAATTGAATAAATAATATATTCATTCAAAGAAAATAAAAACAATATTTTTGACTTCAGAATTAAGACGAATAAGACAAAGCTACACCGCTGACAACTGTCGACTCCTATGTATTGATTTTATTCCAAATCATGGATCCATGACTATTTAGAATAAATTTAACATATTATGTTGATCTGCGCGATTATCACAAAATTTTACAAAATTACAGTTTTGTAACCTAGTTTTTCGAAAAAAATTTTGTTTGGGGTATTGGCTAATATCTTTGTCAACATGGCTGCCAAAAAGTAATAAAAAATGTTCCCCGTACAGGAGGTTAAAATCCGGAAAAAATTGTCGACAAACATTTTTCTTGTCTACTCAAAAACTATCAAATATCTCGGTATAAAATAGCATATAAACATACATTTCTGGAAATGAACATTAATTGACCCCTTTTGGATGCAGGGGCACAACCCCCCATGAATTCTCATCCCCATTAACTCTACTATACTGATCATATTTCATAATTGTGAATCATATTCCATGATGTGCAGGTTCAAAATTAGACATTTAAATTTAGTTAATGTACTCCTTTCAAATAAGCAAAAGGTCAAAGGAATTGAGTTTAAGCCACAAATTCAAATGTTTTTGTAACCC